TTTGAAAATTGAATGTCAAATTTTACCAGACATGGACCGACGTGGATTCGGTATCGTTATTTTCGGAATTAATCATTAACATTTCCTCGTTTCTCTACTCTGTCAAAATGAGTTACCTATGCTTTTTTCACGTAACTGTCATTAAAATAATAAAAAATAGTACATCTAGAACAAGCACCCAAAACATGTAACAAGGGATCACAGTTCAGTTGCTTTCACGATACAAGTGTCATACAACTATTAGACTTGAGGTGTCGTTCAGAATTTAATAATAGTTACCGGTAATACTAGTTGTATGTTCACACTTTACTATCAAAACCACCATTTCGACCACTCATGTGCCAGTGATCTGTGTTTGGGAAAGCGGTCGGTGTTTCAATGAGCGAGCTAGCGGAAAAAAAACGCGATTAAAATGCGGTAGGACAAGACCGCATGGTCGGAAATTAAGCGATAAGCGGTCGATGTAAAAGCGGAAGGTTGGACGAAAGGAGTACTGCATGCCTGGACTGTATGACCATGTTTCTCCGACGAAGTCACGACTGACAATAATGCTGGCAATGAACGTTAGATAAACACGCATTGTTTGCAACTGGAAGCTTATCACCCGTTCAGAATCGGAATCGTCAACAACAGAGTATACAGATAAGATGTTATCATTTAAACCCTTCCAAAGATAAACATTATGCAAATATGCACGAAACGGCAGTTGTAGTCTTTTCTTCTAGCGTTTTAAAACACTAATTTAAGCAACGTTATTTTGCAATGTCGATCTTTTGTAAACCTGGGATGATGTATCAAGGTCTGAAGTAACTGTTTTATTTCCCTTCTTGCTACCTTAAAAACTATATTCAGTGTTCTCCTCAGACGTTATAAGCATAGCAGTTTTACCATGATAGAAATGACATACTTGAACTTCAAAGAAACAGTAGTTATTAATTTGTCAAGTATCTATATTTTTACAAAATGTTTATGCAAATTAAAGTGTATTATTATGCAAATGAGCCACAATGTTTTAGACTTACCAAAGGAGAACCCTGCTAGTGAAATGTTACAAAATTCAGTGAGATTCGAAGAGTCATGAAATTAACAAATATTTGTAAAATTTAGGTTATATAAAGTTAGGTTTACAGAGTTCAGTTTTGTAACCTTTTGTTGCGTTTGTACTCTAGTAATGCCAACTTACGCTCATTCCTTCTTGCCGTCTTCTTGAACCACCACTGGGGGAGACACCAGGTTTGTGTAGAATACCGTTAACAATTCGTTGCGGTTGTTTTATCTTCTTTGTCGAGTTGTCTAATGCTCCATCATTAATCTCGCCACATGTACGTTTCATCGTCGTTTTAATATTTGGAGTTGCAGCAGCCGCCATCACCATTTTATGACTTCTACTGAGTATATTGCCGTGTTCTGTTCCTATTTCTGATGTTGCAGACATTTTCAATAACTTGGCTTTCACTTCAGAATCCCCTTCATTTCTATCCATAAAAACGCATATTTTAAAATTAATTGTGACTACAATGTCAAATATATGTAAGAAACATGTGGCACATACCATATTTACTCTATTAATGGCGCATGTACACAAGAAACAAAATCTTTGGTCTATTTAGGAGATCTGCTTTTAATAAAATACAGTGCTAAGAAGATTCATCCCAAAATGGTACCTAGCATGGCGATTACTTATCATATAAATGATCATTTTCCATTCACTGCGAGATCCTGCGTTAAGCCATCTTTGTTGTCAGTACAAAGATGAGGCGAGATCCAGTGACGACTGGGTCAAATTTGTATTTCATAGAAAATTTTAATTATAATTTCATATTTGTGCTGGTCTTTTAATTCAGCTTTCTCCACTATTTATGTACTCATCTAATTTGTAATATATGCTGGAGGTTTTGAAATCTCAAATAGAATAATATAATATCTATCGTTTCTTGAAAAATTTGACCCTAGAAAATCTCCATTTGGTAATATTGAGATATGTATCTAATTCTAATGAACAGAGCCCTCTAGTGGTAAAGTGAAACTTACTCGCTATGGTCAGGTAAAATTCTGGAATAAAATTTACTATCAGTTTTCCATGCTGGAGATGTCATTAAATTCTTCTTTGTGCCAGATCCAGATAGCCTAGCTGGAGATTGCTGTAATATGGATACAGTATGACAAGATTATTGAATGAAAGCATAAACAATTCATAATTTACATCTGTTTCATAATGTGTCCAGAGCTCTACAGCTTAGTCAATTTAATAAATTTGTTTGCTGGTTGAAAGATTCCATACAGTAATAATTAAAAAGGGCATATAAAGGACACTTAGTGCAAAACGTGGGATTCAGTATGTTAATCCCAGTGAGTGGTAACAAAAAATAAAATAAAAATCAGCAAAACCAGTCCCATGAACAGTTGAATTACACCTTAGAAAATAACATGCCATATTTTGCCATCACACATACTTTTGTGGCAACACAGACATTCTGAATTACGAACTTAAATAACATTTTAATAGATTCAACTAAAACACCAGTTTTGTACCTTAGCATTAACAGGTGACAAAGACACCGTAGTGTTGTTATTGATTTCGTCTGGTGTACGCAATCGTAAAAACGCTAACCCGTACTGCACATCTTTCCTGTACGGCTGACGACAGATCACTCGAATCCTATCCCATTGTTCGGACAAAGCGTCCATATTGAGGTGATCTGAAAACAATTGTCACATTTTTACAACTGTGCCTAGTCACTACATTCTATTGCCACTTCACATATAATACAGCACCTTCTTGTGATGAAGTTTTCTTATGATTCATATAGTTATTAGTGTTCTGAGCTGTAGTCATACTAAACTTGAAATTGATGAGACAGCCAATCACAGTGCTCACCAGCCATCAGAAAGTTGCTGGTATTTTTTCAAAATGTCATAATTATGTTCAAGCATTTGGGAAAAGTTTTTTTGTTAAATTTACTGTTTACAAGTAATTAGAAATGTTTCATGACGCTATTGGCCATCTGGGGTGGGGCATATAAAAAAGATGAAGTGTCAAGGTCTTACGCAATTACCCATATGCACGACCTCCAAAGGTCACACATCCTGGTACTAGTACTTTCTGGAGGTACATATTCACTATCAATGGGAGATTCTCAACTGCTTTTCCCCAAAATGCTAGCAGTTGACATTGATTTCAAAAACTGTTAAACATGTATACTACAAGAAATGATTGCTGCTTACAGGGCAACAATACTCACACAAAGTACCAGGATGTATAACCTTTAGAGGTCAGACACATGACCTGTATAACTGGCCAGGCATGTGTTCCACTAATTCCCAACTTTCAGAGATATTTTAGTGAAAGATACAATGCAAGATGAATAATTTGACAATGAACTCAATATCAAGATATCATATTGTCATGTACTAGACCAGTACATGTAGTCATCAGATCAGAGGTAACAAGATATCACATTGTCATGTACTAGACCAGTACATGTAGTCATCAGATCAGAGGTAACAAGATATCACATTGTCATGTACTAGACCAGTACATGTAGTCATCAGATCAGAGGTAACAAAATATCACATTGTCATGTACTAGACCAGTACATGTAGTCATCAGATCAGAGGTAACAAGATATCACACTGTCATGTACTAGACCAGTACATGTAGTCATCAGATCAGAGGTAACAAGATATCACACTGTCATGTACTAGACCAGTACATGTAGTCATCAGATCAGAGGTAACAAGATATCACATTGTCATGTACTAGACCAGTACATGTAGTCATCAGATCAGAGGTAACAAGATATCACATTGTCATGTACTAAACCAGTACATGTAGTCATCAGATCAGAGGTAACAAGATATCACATTGTCATGTACTAGACCAGTACATGTAGTCATCAGATCAGAGGTAACAAGATATCACATTGTCATGTACTAGACCAGTACATGTAGTCATCAGATCAGAGGTAACAAGATATCACATTGTCATGTACTAGACCAGTACATGTAGTCATCAGATCAGAGGTAACAAGATATCACATTGTCATGTACTAGACCAGTACATGTAGTCATCAGATCAGAGGGACAAAACATGACTAATGATTACCTTTATCAAACATCCTGACATTCACTCTATTCTTGCCTTGTTTACTGTCTATTATCGTCATAAGAGATGTAGCGGGTAATAGACACAAATAATCTTTATTTCGTGGCCATGACGATCTACCAACAAGAATTTCAACGAATGCACTACCACCATTACCTGTAATAAATCAACATGAAATATTACAGACATAACACATGCTGTATCATTGGCCGAATATTACAAAAAATATCTAGTGCAGATCAAATGTGGTGTGGGTATTCTAATTTAGGAGACATTTTAAAAACATTTCAATCTTTTCTGGCGTCTAAAATGAGAGTCTCGTTTTTATTTTTCAAGAATATCCAAGAATATAATGTAAAATTGGGCACAGTTAGCTGTTATCACCGTGAAAAGTGTTAAATGTTTCTTCAATGCTCAGGTTATCTTCCAAAAATTACTACCGTAAAAACTCGATTAATTCGCGGTAGTAAAAATAATTATTTTTTCAAGTGCACGAATTAATAGCATCAAAACGGAATATATTGTTTTTTGGTGCGCGAATTAAAAGAGTACTTTTAGATCGATTCATCATGGCGTATAATCGGGCAGAGAACACGCACTGCGTCAAGGACCATGCAGCATGTTACACTTGAAATGAAACAGTGAAATGGCAAAGGTCACTCTGTACACAAACAATGAACACGTGACTACAAAGTAGCCATCTGGCTGCACTCCCTTTTTTTATTTTTCTAGGCATCGCCCGGGCGATGTTATGGCAGATATTACGAAGCCCATCTTGTCTGGAAAAATAACCCTGCGTTGATAAAAATGATCTCAAAAAATGTTTAGAAAAAATGTTTCGCATTGACCAAATATAATCATGCAAAGTATAAATTCAAAGTGTTTCAATACATTGGTGAGAGGTCGCAATTTACGTGAACATGAACATGCACCAAGAAGGAAAAGCAAGCCAAAGTCGAAACGGGGTGCATCATGGACATGACACAACACACGCTGCGACAACTGAGTGATCAGCGACATCATTTTGGGACACAATTGAACTTCAAGTACTTCTTTGCGAAACTTGCTGCGTGGCGATGCTGACATCAAGTGTGTGTTGGCCGAAGTTTGACCCCAAGTCACGCACTGAACTGGCGCGTTACCTTAGCAACCTTTTTCTTTCGTGCCTCGCGCGTCAATCTAGTAAAATTGTTATCATATCTGAAGGTACTGTTAATTACGCAACTTGTATGCAACTCTGTACTGGCTTTGAATATATCAACATCGTTTACTTAGTGCACTGCTTTTCTAATTACGCAAATTTGTATACAATATTGTACCGGCTCTGAATATTTCAACTTCGTAATGTATTGCTTTCATGATAATTAGTTTTTTTTAACCACGCGTTTGAATTACGTGCGGCGTTGGGCAATGACCTCTGGAGTTCATGCACTGATATTTAAATTCGGGCCACCCAGCTTGACGCAAATCAATATAGTTACTTGTCGTTTGTTCAAAAAGTCTTTCAACTCTCACAAATATCATGGACGCGAAGAGTTAACTGGGGGTTAAATGAAAAGGAACGTTATCCTTGGACAAAAAATACGTCAGTACAAGATTATGTGTGCAAGGTTAGATTTATAGAACGTACATGACCGCTTAACCCTGTGTTTTTTACCGAATCCGAATCAACCCTGTGGACCAGCGACGAAAAGCCCTGTACTAAGCTTTCCATCAAGAAAATTTGTAATCGGTGTGCTGACCGATAGATTTTTATCGACTAAGTAATAATCTTGTCCAACATCTGTAGTGTCGTGGGGGAATGATTTTTTCAGGTCAAATCTTTACTGAACCTAAACTGCTTGCTAACTGAAAGGCTGTGATGACGGAGATCATCTGCGATTGCGGCAACACCAAGTACTGATAACATAAAAACTCAAACAAAATGTATATTTTTAATGTCTTCATGCAATATATTCTGAGTTATCCACTTTATTCTGGCCCGCGAATTAAAAGGATACAATTTTAAACATGTTTTTGAACGCCGCGAATTAAAAGGATACATTTAAAAATTAGCGTTCAAAAATAAAATGGGTGCGCGAATTAATAGAGACCGCGAATTAATCGAGTTTTAACGGTACTCTAATATCTGAAAAATCGCCTTTGCAAAAGAAGGCCAATGGGCGATGTGTCAGCACCTAGGTGATCTTTTGATACCGCATAGAGCTTTGTAAAAACTTTGCAAATCTTTTAATGAGTACTGTTGAATACTTTTATTTTCGCTGAAGGGGTGATGCCGTGAAAATAAAATCCAGCGAATATACTTTTGTTTCTATATTTCACATTAAACTCATAAAAAATCAGTGAAAATAAATTCCACACAAAATGCCCGAAAAGCTTTTTCAGCGAAAATTAATTCCAGCGAAATGAAGTATTTCACAGTATATTAATCAACATAATTTCTGTTTGGAAGAATGCGAATGACATGCAAAGGTCATTATGTAATATAGCAAGTTATCGTCACATTGAAATCCTTGAAAAAATTATATCATTTATAGGGTTGAACGAGAAGATGTCAATCAAAAAAACACTTGTGTGATCTTATCTTTTTACTTGTTGTTAGCAATGTTTGGTTTAGTGATGTAGATATCTTTATCACAAAAACACTTACCAACATCAATATATCCAATTTTTGTGACTTTGTTTAATTCAAATTCTGCCTCTAGGTGACCACTCCTGTCATCTTTTGCGCACAACCACTTTCTCCAACTTGACCCATTGCTCAGCAAATTGTCAGCTTTGTGTACAGTATCCTGATCAAAATTAACATATATCAATGTAAGTTTATGAAAAAGTTTAAAATTTAGGCCTGGTTAAGACATTGCACCATTCCAATTGTTTGTAGGTCATGTGGACCCTCTGACCGAGGCCAGTTAGTGCAACACAAGACTAAACACTGAATAACATGACATGTAGTGAAACAGTATACTGAGCAAAAGCCAATCATGATTCAATATCTGGTCTTAGAGACTCCATATTGAATTGCCATTATTCTTCCTGACTTCCCTCATCATACTGTGAAACCATTTATTGTCTGGCATTCAATTTCACTATTTTGAGCAATTTTACTCTGGGTTTTAAGTTCACAAACTTGGCAAGAAAACAATACACACACACACAATTCGAATACTGTCAGACTTCCGGCAAGTCACTAAAGTGTCTCACTTTTTGATCTTACACATGAATAAGGTGACAGACGAACGCTTACGCCAAAATAACACAGCCCTATTCGGAGACCTAAGACAAGTCTGAATACAAATTTTGGCATCGCTTTCAGTGTCGGTATTAGTATCATTGCAAGGTTTCGAGGGACATGTACGGATGTACCGTAACATGAGGTATTAATATATTTCTACACGCTGCTCAAGCTGCAATTCAACGTAATATCAAAATAGCTTAAGCGGCCAATAAGAGCTGCTAAACTGCAGCAAGCGTGATGTAAACAAACACCATATCATCATCACAAGTTGAAAATCAAACCTGACAAGAAACTAGCATTTGACATTCTTAAAGCAGTTGTAGACATACGCACTTTATGGAGCGAAACTAGCCGCATTATGGATTGCTGAACGTACCTGAGAACTAAAAGAGACGACATACTTCAGCTCGATTGGAGCCATCTTGTATTTCCCCGCGAAATTTGCCTGCCTCGGTATCGGAAATCACGTGATGTGCTGCGCCCTCTGAAGTTGAACATGTTGAACATTTTATCAAAGGTTGTCACACGAGAAAACAAACATAATTATCGAAGCTGCATTTATTAAATACGATCCTTGGTATAAGTTTGTCCAAAAACTTCTACAAATTACAAATATGACAAACACGGATACTAATCAGGCAAATTTTTGCAATCTGTTTAAACAATGGTTAAACCAAATTTACTCCACAAATATGGAAAGTCAGCTGAAAAACTGGTCATAATAACTTAGGTGATATAGATCAGTCACGTA